ATGCCCAATAACACAGTCTCAAAATAAATAAGCATAAATAGAACCACAAGGACAATAAGACACATCCACAACCATTTTGGGAAATTGGCTAATTAAGAAAAAATAAACATGATTCAAGAAATCACAATAAAAATTAAAAATAAGCCAGAATGAGTAAAAAATAAATACAATCAAAATACATATCCAAACTTGCAGGATATAGCTAAATCTATGCCAAATGGAAATTTATGGCATTAAATACCATATTGGAAAAAATAAAGCATGAAAATCAAAAAGCTAAGCATCCATTTTCAGAAGTTAAAGAAAAACAAATTTAACCCGAAGGATAAAAAGAAGAAAATAATACTTGTAAGAGCAGAAAATAATAAAATAGAAAACAAACATTCAATTGAGGGAAAGGACTGACAAAATTTACATGCTAATGGAGAATAATAAATAGGAAGAAAGAGGATGATAGAATAAAAGTCACAAGTCCCCAGTTTAGCAATGAAAAGGAGAACTTCACTAAAGAGATTACTAAACTGATAAAGGAGTGAAAATACAAAATAGGAAAATCCACCGTAGCACTCTTATCATTTTTCATACATATATCCAGTTGATCCAGCATCATTTTTTGAAAAGATGTTCCTTTCCCTATTGAATTGCTTTGGCACTTTCACTTAAAATCAGTTGATCACAAACGACATTTGTCCAAGATGGCAGAGTGGGAAGACCCTGAGCTCACCCCTCCCACTAGCACACCGATATGACAACTCTGCACAGAGCAACTATCTATGAGAGCAACCTGAAGACTAATAGCAAATATTTCCTACAACTAAAGATACAAAGAAGGAACCATGAGACAGATAGAAGGGTACAGTCAAGACCCACACCCCTGGATGGGCAACTCAAAAGCTGGGGGACAGTCACAATGAGAGGTTGTCCCCAAGACACAAGGGATCTGAGCCTGACAGTGCGCTCCCCAGCCCAGGACTCCCATACCGGAAAGACAAGCTCCCAAATTATCTGGCATTGAAGTCCAGTGGGGCTTGCATTTAGGGGAGCCAAAGGGCTGTAGCAAAGAGACACTCCAATCTTAAAAGGCACACACAAAATCTGACATATTCTGAGTCCCACTGAAGAGGCAGTGATTTGAAAGGATCCTAGGTCAGACCCACTTGCTGATCTGAGAGAACTTCCTGGAGAGGCAGGAGGCAATGGGAACTCCCCATGGGGACACAGATGCTGGCAGCAGCCATTCTTGGGAACTTGTTCTACCATGAGGACACTGGTGATGGCAGCCACCACCTGGAGTCCTCTTTCTAGCCTGTTAGTGCCAGGGGCTTACTCACCCACTGGCAGGCAGGCCCCAGCTCCAGGCCCCACTGGCCCTGCAGCCAGCTGCACTAGGACATGGCCCTGCCCACCAGTGGGCCAGAACTAGCCCCAGGGCCCCCTGGACCAAGCCCAACCCACCAGTGGACCAGCAGCCACCTCACAAGGCAGGACCTGGTAGCCAACCAGCCAGCAGTCAGTCCCACCTACCAGCATGCCCGCAGTAGTTGGCCTCATCAGAACAGAAGGGCCCACACAGCCTACACTGGGGTACCCTTAGAGCATATAGCTCTGGTGACCAGAGGGAACTATGCTGCGGGGCACCACAGGATGTCTCCTACATAAGGTGCTTCTCTAAGATCAGGAAATGTAACTGACCTACTTAGTACACAGAAATAAACAGAGAATTAGGCAACATGAGAAGACATAATTTTTTAAATAAAGAGATAAGATAAAACCTAAGAATAACTAAGTGAAGCAAAGGTAAACAATCTATCTAATAAAGAGTTCAAGGTAATGATCATAAAGATAATAAAATAAATGAGGAGAAGACTGGATGAACACACTGGGAAGTTTAACAAAGAGTTAGAAAATAAAAAGAACAACAGAGCTGAAGAAAAAAAAACTGAAATTAAAAAAAAACACTAGAAGGAATCAACAGTAGATTAAATGATACAAAGAAACATCAGTGAACTAGAAGTCAGAGTAGTATAAATCACAAGCTGAATGGAAAAAAGAAAAAAAGAATTTAAAAAAAAAAGGACAGTTTAAGAGATAGTTTAACCATACCAACATTTGCATTACAAGGGTCCCAGAAGGAGAAGAAAGAGAGAAAGGGCCAGAGAACATATTTGAAGACATATAGCTGAAAACTTTCCTAACCAGGGATAAGAAACCAGGTCCAGGAATCACAGAGAGTCTCAAACAAGATCAACCCAAAGAGGTCCACACCAAGATACACTGTAATTAAAATGGCAAAAGTTAAAGAGAGAATCTTAGAAGCAGCAAGGGTAAAGCAGCTAGGTACATACAATGGGACTCCTATAGGAATATCAGTTGACTTTTTAGCAGAAACTCTGCAGGCAAGAAGCAAGTGACACAATACATTTAAAGTGATGAAAGGAAAAAAACCAACAACCAGGAATACTCTACCCAGCAAATATATCATTCGTATGGGAAGGAGTTTATAGACAAGCAAAAGGTAAAAGAGTTCAGTACCACTAAACTGACTTTACGGGAAATGTTAAAGGCACTATTATAAGTGGAAAAGAAAA